TATTATTACAAAAAAATAGCTTTTTTTAAAAAAAAAACCACAACAGTTTCTCTTAATACACCCTCTTCCCAATGCTCCCCGGAAAGGCGGCGCTCGCTCCGCGGGGCTGGGGGACACCGAGGAGCACCACGGGCTCCCCTGGGCCTGGGCCAGGACGTGGCCAGAGGCGCTGGAGCTGCCAAATCCCAGGAATTTCTGGAAGCCAGCACTGAGGAAGCAAGACACAGGTCTTTCCCACCCTGACGCGCAGGGTACCTTCACGTTTGTCCAGCCCTCTCGCTTGCTTCCTTGAGCCTTCCGACTCCCTCAGAACATTTCCAAGGAGGCAAAAATCCACCACCAAAAAGACACGCAGAGTTAAATCCCAGTAAACGCTCCGAGACGGCAGCGTTTGGACCGCAGCAGCGTACAGGAGGCAGCCAGCCCTGGTACCAGAGCCTCACCCAAGTGGCATTTTTCAAAAAGAAACAGTAAATTCTGTACACAGGCTTTGGACAGAAAAATAAAGTCACAGGAGCACCAAAGGCATCGGGCAAGTCGAGTCTCACCACATCGGGATTATTGGTGTTACCAACACTGAGCTGTACTGGGCCAAACTAAGGGTTTCACCACCAGTTATCTCCACTGGGCACTACCTTGGCAGACAAGGGGTCCACTGTCAGAGGGGTTATTTTACAAAGCACAAAAATAGACAAAAAAAATAGATAAAAAAACAGATAAACTAAAAAGCATCACCACAGACCTACCTAGGCATGACGGACACCAACCCCACTACGGCTACTTTACAAGTCTTCACTCAACATCAGTTTCAGCCCCACCTCACACCAAGACCTACCAAGCTACAAGCCCTAAATCTCCAGCTCTGGACCGGCTACGAAAGATGTCCCCGTGTCCCTGCACACCTTCTCCCCAACTCGATACAACACCAGGCTGACGGGGCAGATGCCACACCAAAACATGCCCCCACTGCGCTTCAGTAGTGCCGCTGAAGAGACCCCGGTGCCCCACGGCACTGCTAGGAGCGGGCACAAAATCTCTTTTGGCAGGGGGAAGGGAAACTGAGGCACGGAGGTGACAGGCAGGAAGGCAACAGTGGCAGTCGATAAAACCCAGAGCTTCTAGTCTCCAGTCCTGAGCTTCACCTCGCACAACTTTCCATGGAATGTGACATTCCTGACAATACTTGGCACTTAGAAAGAACTTATGGGGAGTTTTGGACAAGAGGCTTCACAACATCTCCAAGGAAAATCTAAGATTTAACAGAGAAAAAACGGAGAAGAGGAAATCTGAGCAGCTGCTTCGCCATGACTGTTGGCAAAGCCCAAGTAGTGAGAACGGAGAGCTTACAAACTACATCTTAAAAACAATATATAGTTTATAGTTTCCTATAAACTACATGATTTAAAATTCTTTTCCTGACCGAGCTCGAGCTGGAAGTACAGGAGCCAGGCAGAAGAGTCGGGAAGCGACGGCGAGGCGCAGCACGGGGCCGAGGCAGGGGCAGGGGCACGCCGCCAGCGCCACACCGACCCTCAGCGAGACACCGAGCCCAGAGCCCCAGAACCACTCCTCTGGGGTCAGAACTCATCCCGTAACCTTGGCGGGTGGTCCATGCCAAAAAACGAGGAGGGTTTTCCATGCACGTCCCGCTCTCTTTTCACAAAGGCAGTAAAGGAAGAGACGCAGTTCCCGATGAAGTGATCGGACTGGCCAAGGATGTACAAATCAACCTGAGGCACTTCTGGCTGCAAGCTGACCACCTTGACCTGCAGGAAAACAAGCAAAGCCAGTTAATCCAGCCATCATTACAGCCCAAATGCCTTGGCATAACATTAGAAATGGGAACAGACAACAAAAAGAGAGCGGATTCTGCCTTCAGTTGCCCCTGTGACTCATTTACAAACAGATAACTGTCGAAACGTTTTTGAAAATAAGTCAGGTTAAATAATTGAAGTCTTTTTCAAGGAGAAATTTACCACCATGCCGGATAATGCTCTCCAACCTCTAGGAAAGGAAGAGTTTCACGGTATAACTTTTATTGCTATGAGCAAAATCTACTCTGAGACACCGATATTTGTGTGTTGCACAACTGCCTGCGGCAGCAGCGGGCCAGAATCCAGGGAAGAGCTTTTTCTTAAAGCACTCCTGCCAGAACGGGTTTTGGAGAGACTCACCTTTCCCTGGAAAAGCTGCTGTATTTCCGTGGTGTAGGGCTCGGAATCAGTGGCGATATACACGGATTTAGCTTCTGTCTTTTCCACCCAGAGCCTGAGAGCCCGCTGGATCTCTCCGAGGCCCGGCAGGCACATGTCCATGGTGAGGGGCGCCGCGGTGCTCCGGTCGTAGCCCACGCACTGAGGCGAAGCCATGAAGTGTGGCCCGGCCGTCCCGTCCTTCAGCATATTGCAGGCGTTTTTCTGTTGGGAGAAGGGAAGAGAAAACCTCGTGAGCAGCAACAGCGAGAGAAAACACCACCATGTCCCCCACCTCTGCCAGCAGCAC